TGAAAACCCGATCTGTGATATACATAATTGAAAGCCCAACGTTTTGAAAGCAATAATTTGGGTAACGGACTAAGAAAATCGCCGTTTGAAATATCAAACGATGGTTTCCCTAGTCCACTCCCATTTATTCAAAAATCATTTAATCGGGCTTAGTTCGGTAAATAATAATAAAAACAAACTTTAGAATCCAAAATCTCAATTTCTCTTGGCAGTATTCACACAGTATAAAAAATCAGAATTCAAATATATGTGTACGAGAAATTTTACATATCAATTTTGATTTTCTTGATAGACGACGTCCTTTTTTTTTACTAATGGCTGTGGATGCTAAATTGAAAGTTCGATACGAAAGATGGAAAAAGCGGTAAATTTTAATTTGAAAAACTATTATCAGATAATAAATTATTTAATAACTGATGTCCCAAAATTTTTAGCGAAAATAATGAAAATTTCAATGGATCTTTATGGTTATCTTAGTAATCTTGATATTAAGAGACCAGATAGATTACGACCTGATTATGATACATATTTCATGTATTTGGCGGAACTAGTGGCATTAAGAACAAATTGCATAAAGCGTAAGGTTGGTTGTGTATTAGTTAAAGACTCTAGAATAATCGCGACAGGTTATAATGGTACAGCAAAACGTTTAAAAAATTGCAATGATGGGAATTGTGAAGAATGCTCCCAAGGAGAAAGTGGAGGTAAATCGAGCACTTGTAAATGCGTGCATGCAGAAGTAAATGCATTATTGAGAGAAAATAAAGGGTGTATTCTTTATTGTAACACGTGAGTATAAATAATCCTGCAGTATATTATCGTATTATCAAATCTTAATGATTTTAAAGCACAAATTTGTTTTTTTCTAAGGTTTCCATGCTTAGGTATGTAATAATACTTTTGTGATCTTCATTTTGTTCCAAAGTTGAGCTTTAGTTTGAAATATTATAAGGATGCTCGAAGCAATTAATTCAATCGGGAGTTGCTAAGGTTATCTATAACAAGTAAGAATGTATATTATGATGCAATTGAATTTATTAAGTCGTTCAATTTAATTTCTGATTCATCTATACATATATAATTGTTTATGTAATGAACAAAATTCCAAAGACCTTATGGTGATACAAATGAAGTTAGCATGATCAAACAAATGTTTGAAGAAGCTGAAATAGATCTTAGACAACATCCATCACCTGAAGCTCCGATAATACCGTTAAAACGACGTATAGATATAGATCAATGACATCATTTAGTGCGTCAAAAATCAGTTTATAAATGAAGCTGTAACTAATGGCGTAAACGCAATAGTATCTCCTATAACTGAGTTTTGATATTATATTCGCATTAATACCTTTGAGCAATAATTATTTTTCGCTGTGCGGACTGTGCACGGCACAAAGAACCAAAATTTTGCGCACGTTTTCTTTTAAGCAGATATACAGATGCCACGCCGACAAAATTAAACTTTTATAAATACAGTCAGACCTCGTTATAGTCACTCTTGATATAGTCACAACCTTGTTATAGTCACACTATTTCTTAATCC